AACTTGCTATCAAATACACAGTTTGGGTTCCGCAAGAGCAAAGGAACAAACGATTGTTTAGCGCTGCTTTCCACAGATATTTAACTGGCCTTTGCGCACAAGGAAGACTTCCTGGAATTTTAAATAATTTCTTGTACAATTTGTTGTCAGAAAAGCAAATGAACTTTTCCCTTGGACAACTGACAACTTCCAGAATTAGCTACATGGGTCTGCCCCAAGGCTCATGTCTCAGCCCTCTTCTTTATAACTTTTATGTCAAAGATATCGACAACTGTTTGGCAGAACAATGCACGCTAAGACAACTTGCAGATGACGGTGTGGTTTCCGTAAGAGGTCCACATGCCGTGGACTTGCAAGGACCATTGCAAAGTTCCTTAGATAACTTGTCCTATTGGGCTAGGAATCTAGGGATCGAATTCTCGCTGCAGAAACCTGAACTGGTAGTGTTTACTCGAAAGCGGTACCCAGCCCAAATGCCACTAAATCTTTTGGGCAGAAACATTACTCAATCATTGTCTTTCAAGTACCTTGGGGTCTGGTTTGATTCGAAGTGCACTTGGAATACCCATATTACGTATTTGAAGCAAAAATGTCAACAGAGGATCAACTTTCTCCGTTCAATTTGCGGCACATGGTGGGGTGCTCATCCGGGAGACCTCATAACGCTTTATAAAACAACAATTCTCTCTGTTCTAGAGTACGGCTCTTTCTGCTTCCTCTCGGCAAGAAAATGTCACCTAATAAAATTGGAACGAATTCAATATCGTTGTCTGCGTATTGCTCTCGGCTGTATGCACTCAACGCATAACATGAGTCTCGAGGTTCTGGCAGGAGTAACACCCCTCCAGAACCGCTTCTGGGAGCTCTCTCTCAGAATACTAATCAAATGCGGAGTGACGAACACACTTATAATTTCAAATTTTGAAGAAATTTTTGAGCTGAACACACAATCTCGATTTATGAGAATCTACCACCAATACATATCCTCGGATATGTGTCTTCCTTGTTATACTTCAGACCGTGCTCACTTCACCAATCGCAGTTCCTCAATTGAATATGATCTGTCCATGAAACAAGTTATTCATGGGATTCCAGATCAACTTCGAACTATTATTGTCCCACGTATTTTTACTGAAAAGTACCAACACGTCAATTGCGTGAACAGATATTTTACAGACGGGTCTCGTCTCAGTGGATCCACTGGCTTCGGTGTCTTCAATGAAAACTCTAGCGCCTTCTGCAAACTTCAAGAACCTTGTTCCGTTTATGTTGCTGAGCTGGCAGCAATCAACTTCGCTTTGGGGATGATTTCCAACATGCCCGCAGACCATTACTTCATCTTCTCGGATAGTCTCAGTTCTATTGAGGCTATTCGGTCGATGAAACCAAGTAGGCACTCATCTTATTTCCTTTCAAAGGTAAGGGAGCAGATGAGTGTGCTGGTCGAAAGATCATATATGATTACCTTTGTATGGCTCCCCTCACATTGCTTAATCCCAGGCAATGAGAAGGCGGACTCTCTCGCAAAGGTGGGTGCACAGGAAGGCGAATTTTATGACAGGCAAATTTCACACGATGAATTTTACCATTTAGTGCGTCAGAGTACCCTTTCGAGTTGGCAAACCGATTGGGACAATGGAAATCTTGGACGGTGGTTACATTCAATTATTCCTAATGTTTCTTCGAGAGCGTGGTTTAAAGCACAAACGAAGTGACAGACGGAACGGCTCGAAAACTTTGGTGACTAACCTGCTATTTCAATTTTTCAGTGTACCACATGGCAACACCACTACTACTAGATTGTACCACATGGCAACACTACTACTGGATTGTACTAGCATTTTCACCAAATGTATTAGAATGTTTTGGTTCTATCTCTTTCACTCTACTCAAAACTGAACTGCATAAAAAAATGACAAAATGATACACTCTTTGCACACTGTCAAAGAATCATTGTACACAAAATCAACTTTGTTCAAATCAAAACAAAAACACTAACCCATCTGGTGGATGATGGCATAAGCTTCCAAGAAAATTCTATTACAGTAAACCACATTATTTGAATGGATTTCTTCGCCAGTTAGTCGTCTGTCACTTCGTTTGTGGTTTAAAGGCTTGGGCTTAAGTCGTGACTTCATTCGCGTGATGAGTAGACTTATGTCCAACCACTACTCGCTAGATGTGCATCTCAATAGAATAAACCTCGTGGACAGCAACATATGTCGGTGTGGAAACGGTTACGACGACATCTATCACGCAGTTTGGCAATGTACGGATAATGACGCCGCCAGAGAGCGACTTTTGAATACCCTCGAGGCCCAAGGAAGACAACCCTATATTCCTATCAGAGACGTGTTGGGTACCCGCGATCTCTGCCTCGATCTCTGCTATATGCAGTCGATTTATGTGTTTCTGCAAATGTCTAGTATAAAAATTTAATTCGTTTGTCTTTTGTATCTTTTTATTAGTTTTTGTTTGTCTTGTCCCCCGTCTCGATGAGTCTCATCGTCGCCCACTGGTCACCATAGCCGGTCGAACTCCAGACGAATCTAGAACCACACTACCGTTCATACTGGCGACATCACTCTGATGAGACAACGAAACCCTACCCCAAGCTCCTCCCCTTTTTCTATCCTTCGATTATGTACCCCTCTAACCTCGAGTAAGCCGCGAGTATTCGGCCCAACTCCTACTAGACATAGAATTAAGTGAATTTTGTTACAAACAAAGAACACGGAACCAAATTTTGTTCATTTAAGTTAAAAATATATATGTTTATTAAATAAAAATATGAATAGTTCAAAGTAAATTACAAACATGTTCTCAACAAAAATATGTATGTTTAGAATAAATTCAAAAGCATGTTTATTTCAACAATACATAACCTGGGTAATCAATTTTTAGCGTGTCCTTTTTTCCTTCTTGTTTACATTCGGCAAACTTAACCGAAAACGGCCTGCAAGCGGCGAAACCGTAGTAGAGGGTCCGGAAACCCACGCAATGTTCCAAGCTCGACAAAACCGGTGGAACATCACAATATTAACGGCAATCCGTCGTTTCTGATACCGATCCCCATATCATCCTCACCCCCCACCCGACGTCGAAAGAAAAACAGATCATCCCCGAACACTAAACGTAGAAAGAGGCCGGTATGAGGACCAGCGTCATAAACGACAAAATGACGCTAATATCACAAAGTTTCACCAGTTTTACTAAACTGGATCGGATCGGACACCCACCCCGACGGCCCCCCGGATCCAAACATCCACAGACTTTCCATAATCGCAGGAATTTCCATTAATTTGCTATCCATTTTATTTTGATTTATTCAGCATTCAAATGCTAAAATAATTTCAAAATATGTTTGTTTATTTTAAACATGAAAAGCATGTTTAAAATAAACATATTAATTTTTGATTGCATATAGTTTTCAAATAAATCAAAAATATTCACGTTTATTTTCAACACGAATATTTTTAAAATAAACGTAACATTATTTTTGTTTTAAACATTATTATCAATGGATTCAAACGTAGAATACGTTTGAAATCAACCTAGTTTATGTTTGTGGCCAGAACAAACTGAATTTACGTTTAAATTTACCTCAAATATTTTTGTTTCGACGGTAATTTTTTCTGCGTGAACAATGAATTATCGGCTCCGTAAAGCTAACGCGATTGAGCCTTACAAATAAACGAACTAGATAAAAAAAAAACAAAGCATCGGCTGGCTCGCCGGCTGGTGAACTCGATGACCTTGATTTTGCCGTTTCGTGATGCGATGAAACTTGTTGGTTAGAGATGTACAGCTCATCTGCCGGACTCGGCCGGAAATGACTGCTTCCTTTCTCGAACGATTGAGCGGCAATTTCAATTCCGCGATGCTCACTACACTGTTGTTTACTACAACACCACTCAGTATGAAAGCGGATTGAAAAAAAACCTCAATAGGGGAAAAAAAACTAGTACCGATTACGGAGTGCAAGCAATACTTGACCGAAACAGTCGAGCGTTTGATGTGGAATGTTTTTTTTACAGGATGAATTCAGCAAAAAAATTACCGATACAATTTAGGAAATTTGGTGTGTATGCGGTTTACTGAAAATTAGCTTATTGAACGAAACATCCCGCATAAACGCGAACCATAAATTGACCTTACCTAAAATGGTTAAAAATTGTTTATAATCCCTGCTAAACTTTAACTGAAATGGTTATGGAACTTTACATGAAAGTTTAATGATAAAGTTTCAACCTTATGTATTATGGTTTTTTGGAAATGGACCTTACAAATAATGGGTTGTTAAGAACCATTACCATTCCAAATTCTTGTTTTCTCCATACATTTTCAGAAAGAGAACTATATAAGAACGTTTTTACTTATGATTTGAGAACATTAATGGTAATGGTTATGGTAGCCAGTAAGGTCCATTAATGGTTTTGTATTATCGCTCAACTTTACGTGGAATATATCGTGAATTGGTAATCAGTAAATTACAGGCAACCAATTCGCGATATATTCCACATAAAGTTGATCGATGTTACAAAACCATTCGTGGACCTTACTGACTACCATAACCATTACCATTAAAGTTCTCAAACCATAAGTTAAAAGGTTCTAATATAGTTCTCTTTCCGAAAATGTATGGAGAAAACAAGAATTTGGAACGGTAATGGTTCTTAACAACCCATTATTTGTAAGGTCCAGTTCCAAAAAACCATAATACATAAGGTTGAAACTTTATCATTAAACGTTCATGTAAAGTTCCATAACCATTTCAGTTGAAGTTTAGCAGGGATTATAAACAATTTTTAACCATTTTAGGTAAGGTCAATTTATGGTTCGCGTTTATGCGGGATGGAAGATGAGGGAAAAAAACAATTTTGGGTAATTTTTCGGTTCCGTGTACCGATAAAAGTTTTAACAACTAACCGATAATTTAAAAAATAATCTGGCCACCATTCTGGATAGACTCTACCAATTTTTGGGTATTTTTCAAGTAGCGTGTGTATATACGAGCCATGTGTATACGTGTTGGGTCATTTTGGAGTAGAATATTCTTTTCATAGGAGACCAGTTATTCATGATTAAAATTAAGTACTACTGAACGAATTTTCAGTATTCCTGGCAGTGATTTCAATTATTTTATTTATATTGGTGTTATTTGTGGTAAATTATATAGATAAAATGAGTTCTTGCGAACTGAAAAGTATCGGTACGTATAAAACAAAAATGGCTGAAAAAAATTAAAATGACACGAAACATTTCGTAGGCTGGAAAACAAATAAATGTCGCAGTAGTGAAGTTGCAGAAGTAACAGTACCGAATACGACGGATTTCATTTACATAACACTGGCAAAGGAGAGTCCTATTCGAGTGTTCGAATCGGATGAGGATTTTTATAACAGCATCAATGAACAAGAGACGGGTAACTATCATCCATCATTAAATCGACAGTGAGCATTCAAAAGGGCGTATACGCGATGATCGATTTTTCTCTTTTCTTACTCGCTAGATTTAACGTTTGTCGGTGCGTTTGTTGTTGCTTTTGAAAGCCAATACAACCTATTACAACTCTACATTGAACAAATTCTACAAAATTGTTTCGCTTAGCTGTTGCAATGCAAAGAGAAAAACGATGAAGAGAATCGATCATCGCGTATACGCCCTTATGCATGCTCACTGTCGAAATGCTATTCATTGCGAACGGTGGCAACCTGGGGGCAATGAATCTATATAAGGTCTGGGCCAAAGGGCTTATTGATGTTAGTGAAATGTGCAAATGGTTAGTGGTGTTCGTATTATATTGCACGTATTATTTACACGAAACAGCTGTTGGCAGTGACGTATATCTATCTGTTCTCAGTATGTTGGCAGTGACGTGCATCTATCTGTTCGCAGATGTTCAGCAATGTTTACAACATTTTTGCTTCTAACACCAGCAAGCTGCCTGTTGGCCCAGACCTTATATAAATGTCATTGACCTGGGGGAGCTTATTAGGTTCTGCAGCGTGACGTCACAAATGAACTCAGTGTTAATCGGCTGAACCTTTTTGACAGTTCAGTGGTACTGTTTACGAGCACTTAGTCGTTTTTTTCGAAAACAATATTCTAAAATTTCCGAATTTTAACTTGAAAATTGTCGAGGAACAGCGCGGTGAAAAGATGTTGCTCGTGGACAATGCAGAAGTGTGGTTTACATCTCACTGCAGTCTGAAAAATTATCGAGAAAATCTACCCAAGAAAAAATCGACTAAGTCCACGTAAACAGTACCACTGAACTGTCATCAGATTGAGGTTAACCCCGACGGTGCAAAACCTAATAAGGTTTCGCACCGCCGGGGTTAACCTCCATCGGTACTGTTTACGTGGACTATAGTAGTAATTATAATTAGGTTCTGCATCGTGACGTCACGAATGAACTCAGCGAATTTCGTATAGAGATTGCTAAAGTGTGATTGTGTCAGTGATTTGTTTTCATCTGGAAAAATTTTCACTATGAAGTTTTTTTTTCCCGATGAAAACATTTGCGTATACGTATACGTAACGTAGTGTGCATACGATAAACGTCAGCAAGCTCTATTATTCAGTTCCATCCTGGATCGGGTATCAAGATTGGGTCTGCTTGTTTTCTGACAAACGTCAGTTTGATCGTTTGTTTTTAAAACCCAGCTCAGGTTGAGGTTTGCACTGACAAAAAGTTCGGTTTCGCACTGGGTTGGAACTGGTTCCAACTCCGATAATGAACGAATAAATTCGCTATCAGTTTATAGACTCTGAACCATTTGGCGGATTTTTTTTAACTTTTGGTTAAAATTTGACAGATAGAAAGATATCTATTAACCCTGCTATCCGAGTATGGTTATTTCTGACAGACCAGAAGTAAAATTTTAACAACCGTGGCTCGAAAACCGGTCGATCGCACGGGGATTTTCGAACATAGAAAATAACTTTCGAAATGTCACTTTTAACCACGAGTTAAATTTAACTCAGCAAAAATCAAGGGGGGGAGGTGGCTGTCAAATACGAACAATCGTCGCCTACCTCGCATGCCTCGCATAACTGGTTCCAAACGTAAACACGCCATAAGAAACATACAGCGTTTGTTTACGTTTGGAACCAGTTTCATACAAGAATGATCAGTAGGCTGATTTGACAGCACGTCCCCCCCCCCTCAGGCAAAAATGGTTCACAGCCTTAAGGCCGACGCACAATAGATACGTTTTCAGGTTTTTTGACAGTTAGCCCATGCATTATCTGTCAAAAAATCCGAAAACGTATCTATTGTGCGCCGGCCTTTAATCGGCTGCACCTTTTTGACATATCAGTGGAACTGTTTACACGGTAATTGCAAAAAACTCTTATGACTATTGGCAAATCAAAGTTGGCACTCGTAGAGAATAGACGAGCTATGAAAGTGATGATGGTTTCAAAATTTTCCACGGAGAGGTATACGAGTGCAATCTTAAAATGCTTTTATTTTGAAAATGGAGCATTTTATTTAATTCTGGTTAGTGCTACGTTAGTAGAAAACTGGAGGACTACTCATTAGACATATAATATAAAAATAATAATTTCCTTTCAGATTCTTAGGTGTATACATAGATTTCAGCTTTTCTACAACTGTAGCAGCAACCAGATTTAAATAAAATGCTCCATTTGTAAAATAAAAGCATTTTAACATTGCACTCGTATACCTCACCGTGTAAAATTTTGAAACCATCATCACTTTCATAGTTCTTCTATTCTCCACGAGTGCCAACTTTGATTTGCCAATAAAGTACGCATTTTTGAAAGACTACCCATCAAATGACTCAAATTTTACACATTTGTGAGTAATTGCTAGTACAAAAATGAATAAAATTTATGCATTTATGAGTAACAGATACTCATAAAAGGTATAAAAAATACACAAATTTTAGGTGTAGTCCCGTTTTAGCCGAATATCCAGAAAAAAAGTTGTTGAATATTATATCCAAACTGCTGCAACCAGGTCAATCCATCGGTTGTGTAATATAACGTTGTACGATGTACATCGATTTTGCGAACATAATTACATCCATTGATGTAAATAATATTGTATCTGCTTTTTGCTATTACATCATTATTTCATACATCAGCTTGAATTAAATTGATCGATATTGCATTTTTTTTTTTGGTATGTAATCAAAATTGAGTCCTTTATAGTCATTTTTGCGTATTTTGCGGGTATTTTTACCCATAAATGGGTTTTCACGAAACACCGTGTAGGCTTTTTTGATGCACCATCAATGTAGAGTGCGCTAGGCGATTTTGAGATCCATCCGATCCGTTTGTTTGTCATAATGACAACTTTAAAAACTCCTAATTGGCAAATCAAAGTTGGTACTCGTGGAGAATAGAAGAACTATAAAAGTGATGATGGTTTCAAAATTTTCCACGGGGAAGTATACGAGTGCAATCTTAAAATGCTTTTATTTTGCAAATGGAGCATTTTATTTAAATCTGGTTGGTGCTATGTTAGTAGAAAACTTAAGGACTACTCAATAGACAAATAATATACAAAAATTCATTTCTTTTCAGATTTTTAGGTGTACACATAGATTTGAGCTTTTCTACCACTGTAGCAGCAACCAGATTTAAATAAAATGTTCAATTTGCAAAATAAAAGCATTTTAAGATTGCACTCGTATACTTCCCCGTGGAAAATTTTGAAACCATCATCACTTTTATAGTTCTTCTATTCTCCACGAGCGCCAACTTTGATTTGCCAAATAGTGTATATTTTATTGCGGTTCTTCCAAATTTCAATCGGGAGTAGTCTTATTTTTCGATTATCTGGTCTGAACTGATATATTGCTAAAAAAAACACATTCCGTTGGGACAATTTAATACATCTTAATTGGAAAATACAAGTTGGAACTCGTGGAGAATAGAAGAACTATGAAAGTGATGATCGTTTCAAAATTTTACATGGTGAGGTATACGAGTTTAGCCGGTGCCAGTGGTATAGTGGTAAGCGTGACTGCTTTCTCACACCCCAATGGGTCTGGGTTCGGAAGGGAAGTAAAGCCGTTGGTCCCGGCCCATGTATGTGTGTTTGAATGGGTGCGATATCCTACGCAGGTGTGGAAGCTGCCTTCCTGCACATTCGATTGCCGTCAATGGATTGCAATCGATGTCCGTCGGTGATTGGCACTAGATTGCGGAACAGAGACCGACGTTAAATAAAGGAATGAATAAGGTATACGAGTGTAATCCTAAAATGTATTTGTTTTGCGAACAAATTATTTTAATTATGTCTGGTTAATGCTAAGTGGACGGTGTTTGACGCATAGAGCCGTCAATTTCGGTTTCAGAGTGTCGCAGTCGGCGGTTTTATGATTCGTGAGCGCTCGCGATTCGTAGAATCGTTGATTGTGGGTTGATTTGACGGGTTTTGTGTGTTGGACGCTTGCCTTTTGGCCTCTTCTTGTGTCTAGCATGTGCGAGGTATTATTATAGCGTCAAATGGTTTTCAAATTCCTGGTTGCGTGAAATACATTTGTGAGAATATCTTTTTGATATTTTGAGATTTTAGTAATCAGATTTTAGTAGTAGTAGTAGAGCAACTTATCGTCATAAAATTAAAAATTACATTTAGGTATTAGTCAAAAAAATGTGGATAGTAAGTTAGATGTGTTATGGTATGAACTTCTGCAACGTATTTTTTTTTTCAATTACTCTTGAACGCAGTTAAAACTAGGAGATGAGGAAGAAATATAATCATTTGGTGCAAACACACACACAGATACACAAACACATCATGACATCAGACAAGAAAACATCCAGACATTAAAATTGACGTACGTTGAGAAGAAGACATAGACAAAGACAGACCAACGATTACCGAAACATAAAGATTTTCAAGAAGATTATGATTTATTTATTTCCATTTCGTCAAGCCAGTGTAGACTACATACAATGATTATTACAATGTTTACTTACATACTATGCGTTAATCCTATTCTGTTTTAGCTTAGTTTTTATTTGCTGCTTGGACATAGTGATGTCAATAGTTCCGCAATGCAAATTATATAGGCGCATCATTCGATTGATTGGGCTATTTTTTGCATAGTTTGTTCTGTACGATTTTTCTGAAAATAAATTCCGTGTTCTAAGATATCGACAAGGTGTGTAAAAGTTTAATTGTGCGAGAATTTCTGCCGAATCTATGCGCATTGAAATAATGTCGTTGATGAAGAAAAGCATTGCAAATTGGCGGCGCTCCTTAAGTGTTTGTATATTGATAAGCGCGCTGCGCGCTTCATAAGATGATAATGGAAAAGCAGTCCAATACAATTTACGTAAAGCATATAAAAGGAATTCAGTGCCAACGTAAGGGGCGTAATTGCTTTAGTAAACAATGGCTTTAGACGTCGATTTCTCGCAAATGAAAACCCACACCTC